ATAGTGGATTTGCCTCTAAGAAGCATCTCCCACGTTTTCTTGAAGTTTAGTTGCATACGGTTAGCAGATGTCCATGCGACGATCGATTGGACCTCCTCAGCTGCTGAATTGCCGTTGTTAGCCCGCGATTTTACTGGAATACTTAATGTTAAATCATCAGCATATTTCACAAGTAAATTCTGATTTGGTAGAATGGCCTTAATATCGTTGACCATAATAGAAAATAGTATAGGGCCTAAAACTGTCCCCTGAGGGACACCCCTATTGATATTTAAATAATCCGTAACAATGGCATCAACAACAACTCTTTGTTTCCTGCTTTGTAAAAAACTAATAATCCAATTGGTCACGTATGGATTTATGTCAAGTGTTTTCAACTTAGAGCAGAGGATATCATGAGGGACCGAATAACCGTTTTAAACCGTTTGTCTCCTCGAGAGTGGGAGAAATTCAAAGCAACTCAGATCCAAACCAGTGGAAGCATATACCCAGTGAGGATAATGTAGCTGACGACTTGTCGCGAGGGATCCGCGTTAACGAGTTACAAGGCAGATGGAAGTATGGCCCGGAGCTCTTATACCTACCAGAAAGTCAAGGACCAATTACGACAGCACCGCCGACCCCGAATGTAGACATGGAACGCCGTCAGATGCAGATACTGACCGCAGTCACAGCACAGAAAGTTAGCAATGGTATTGATCTATCCAAGTTCTCAAGCTGGAGAAGACTGATGCGTGTGACGGCGCGAAAACGTAGACTAGCAGAAAAGATACGGCTGAGAAAATACGACCAACACGGAAATGAAGGACCACGAAGAGCTTCAGCAAGCAGAAATTTATTGGATAAAGCAAGCACAGATAACACTGTACAGTCGACTGGATAGAGGGGAATTCAAATCGCTCAGCCCGTTCAAAGATGAAAACGGAGTTATCAGAGTTGTAGGAAGACTGGATGAAGCTATCGTGTCCTATGAAACGAGGCACCCTGCCCTTCTTCTAAGTGACCACTGGGTTTCCCTCCTTGTAACAAGACAAGCTCATCAGTACGGACACTCCGGCGTAGCAGCCACCACAGGCAAGACGCGAAGGAAGTTTTGTATCTTGAAAGCGAACAAGCTAAGCAAGTCCGTGAAATTTAAGTGCGGATTTTGCCGAGAAATGGCACATAAGACGGAGACGCAGCTAATGGCAGACCTACCTATTCTCCGTTTAGCACCACACACACCGCCATTTTACTACACCGCGTGTGATCACTTTGGTTCCTATAACGTCAAAATAGGGAGAAGCAAGACGACTAAGCACTATGGCGTCATCTTCACGTGCCTAAACACCCGGGCTGTCCATCTAGAGTTAGCGATTGACCTAACTACAACGGAGTTCATCCAAGTTCTTCGTAGATTCTTTTCAATCCGAGGATACCCAGCAGCAATACTAAGTGATAACGGAACACAGACGGTTGGAGCCGCTAACGAACTGAAAGAGATGGTGAAAAATCTAGATGACGATCAGTTACGCGAGTTTTGCGGAGGAAAGAGCATTAAGTGCATCTTCACAACGCCAGCTGCGCCACATCAAAACCGATGTGCAGAAGCCCTTATCAAGAGCTGCAAGAGATCACTGAAGATTGCAATCGGCGACCAACTTCTGACGCCTTTCGAGTTGTACACCTGCCTCCTAGAGATCGCAAACCTGTTGAATCAACGTCCCATAGGGCGCATCCCCAATGATCCAGACGACGGAGCGTACCTGTGTCCGAACGACATGCTCCTTGGAAGAGCAACTCCGGAGGTACCACAAGGTCCATTTAAAGATACCAGAAATCCTCGTAAGCGAGTAGAGTTCGTGCAAAGAATAGTTGATTCATTCTGGAGACGCTGGACTAGGGATATCTTCCCCACCCTGGTACCAAGAAAGAAGTGGCATGTTGAGAACCGCAATGTTAAAGTTGATGACATAGTTACGGTAGCCGATAATAACGCTGTGAGAGGCAAGTGGGCTGTGGGAAGAGCAACCAAAGTATACCCTGGAGATGATGGACGCGTTCGAAACGTTACAGTGAAGACATCCACCGGAGAATACAGTTGTCCAGTGACAAAAATTGCAGTAATTCACCCTACTGAAGGCGACGACTAAACGAACATTTGCTATGATAAGGACTGCGCCCTTATCGGGGTGGAGTGTGTTTCGTCAATACAATGAATTATTAACTTGACTTCCTTATGGACTTTGATTGACACTAAGTTGCGCAATTAAGCCACGTGAATAAGTCTGCTTTCAGTTCAGATACTTTAGATTCGAAGTTACCTTTATGTTTTGCTGACCTGTCGCGCTGACCCGTATTCTTTTATACCCTGATCTGTTATATCTGTTGCTGACCTGTATACCGTGAAACAATCCTACTAGACATCGTCAAAGAAGTAAGTTATTAATGCTGTAATTCTAGCTAATAGTTTGACTCGTGTGTTCATGTATCGATAGATCCTGTTCAGTTTCTCAAATGTATTTCATTTCTTTTCTCTAGATCGAATAATAATATACTGGGATAAATTATACGATTTGCGTAAGTTAGTTGGATTGCCTGTTTGGTGTATTGGACCAGGTGTAACGATGGGTACTGTTTGCTAGTTGCCCCGTTTGAGTGTCAAACTTAAGGGACGGGGCTTTTTGTATAACGAGTCATTTGATGTAACGCTTTGTGGTAGATATCAAACAAGACTTGGTTTCTTGGGTCGAGTGATTTCATCGCAACTAAACAAAGACTCCAACAGAGGGCAGGCGCCTATTGGAAGGAGAGCGCATAAACGATGGTGGCGCTTAGCGGAGAATTAGGACAAAAAATTAAAAGAACAGATATCACATGTGAGGGGATTCTGCAAGCACACTGAGATACAAATGACTGGAACGGAAAAGAAACTATTCTACTTTGCTGATTCGACCGTAATTGAAGCTTAAAAAGGTATCAGTTAAGTAGTATTGGAAACAGGTTTTGCTTGTATCCCTACTATTTAAGAATTTAAGGGAGGAGATGGTGGGGGCGGTTATTGGAGGGAGGCGGTTACCTGAGGGGGCTGGTTGTGGGCGCTTATTCGGGAGAGGGCGCTGGCTTTTACGAGTGTGGACGTTTATTCCGGGGAATACAGTAAGCTATTGCTATGTCAACTCGGCATCGCCTCAGTTTGGGTTGTACCATTACGACTTTACTCTTGGTTATTATGTGAGTAGTTAATAATCAACAGCATTTCTGACATTTCTCGTGTAACCCAAATAGTCAACAGGTCACAAATTAAATCGAATTACTCGTGCTATTCATCTAAACTTACGCCCGAAATCATTCGAAATCAGTAATCCCATACCTACATGAAGAAAGTGGTCTGACCATGAACCCGAGTTAGTCTTCGTCTGTAAGAAATGATTGACAGTTCATAATCACGTGATTCGGAGCACATGCTCTCGCAAGTTAGCTTGGTTTTGTTTTACACACATCTTGTATGATTCTCGCTTAGTTGTGTTGGAATGTGAATCGAACGAATAAACAATTTAAATTTGGTTGTAGACGAACTCGAAATATTTGATATCGTCTCAGTGCTACTCTTTTCTACCCACTATCCATATAGCTATTGCTTGATGAATGACCAGCGGTACGTGCAAACGGCCAAATGAACCGTTAATAGAAATACTTTGTGGTAAATGGTTTTATTCCACCTCACCAGTTAAATCGAAAGTTTAAACATTTCTGTATCCAGCTAACCGTCTTATTAAATCATATCACGATCTTAATAAATTGTTGATTACAACTAATCTGCCATTACTCTAATTTGTTTCAGGCTATTTCTCGAAATTTCCATGATATCCTTCCAGCTTCGACAGAATTCAAATTAATGTGATTTTAACCCGATAGTTGCAAGATTATTGCCCAGTATTGGTTTGAAAGTCATTTATAATGTATTCGCACTAAAATAAATTTGTGATTATCAATTGAGGAATACTTTCGTCATAAAAACAGTGTGGAAATTTTCCTTTAAGGTATACCGTATCCGTTCGAGGTCCAATCACTTTGCACCGACCCGAAAACAGTTATCTTTATTGCGTGCCAGATCTGGAAAAATCGCAAGCGCATTTTGTACGTACGTCTCAGATAACATTTCCGATTCATTAATATGAATGCCAAAATTTCAGCATACTCATCGGTTGGGAACATGTCAATTTATTCTATCTAGTATCGAAAGTGAGTGTGGAAAGTTGAAATAAATTGATTGACAGGAAATCCGCAAAGGCGCGCCAAAACAAAAAGGCGGACAGATTTGGAGGAAGTATAAACGTTTTAATTCAGAGTTTGAAGGAGAGTACAAAAACAAAAACACCTAACAAAGGAAACTAACAACTGGCTAAACGTTGGAGAGTCTATGGCTTCCTAAAAAAAACAGTTTACACAAGAGCTCATAAGACCACTATGTGTAGAAATGCACACAGAAACGAAAATAGCGAAATTTCGTCAAAGTCGTCGAGTAAATATGTTCATGGATTTGACGATTTTGAAAAATTCTGTTAAACTCGTCAAAGCGAAATCAGCTTTGCGGAATTGACTATTTTGACGAATTTTACTCAAATACGTCCAAGCGAAATCAGCTTTGCGGATTTGACGATTTTGACGAAATCTTGCCATTTTCGTTCCTGCATGCATTTCTGCACATTTCCTATCGAGACAGGGATCAGATTCCTAGCACTTGATAGCTTTATGTGGTGCTTACTACTATTTAATAACTGATACCTAACTGAGAACCAGTGCAAACGCTCGATTATTCCTGACAAAAAGTTTAAAAGCTCGAAACGAAATCTTGTGTGAAAACCCCGACTTTCCCGGCAACAACACAAAGGCAAGTGACCGAACCAGTGAGCCACGACCAAGAGGAAACCAGAGTCAGAATTTTTCATTTAAATTATTCAAAACAAGTAAGCACATGTGTTTTTATCGCTGGGCTAGATCAGCACACGTACTGATTCATTCCCTAATAATATACACGAAAAAATTTCTCAGTTCTGATTGGTTAAGATGAATGCAGTTTTGAGTTAATTCAGTGCAGAAGAGAGTTAATTCAGTACAGAAGAGGGTTAATTCAGTGCAAAGAAAGAAACAAACAAGACATTCTGATTGGTCAGAATGATTGGTCAATGTCAATGTCAAGGTCAATGTCACTTGCAGGGTTTGAATAAATTATTTTTGCACGTGATGCGCGCGCTTTTCTTCTGCGTAGTTATGAGAAGCTACCTGGTATTTTTTCATGTATATTATTAATTGCTCATGCAATTTTGTTAGTCTATGAAAAAATTTACTCGTGCTTATTTATTCCAAATTGCACTCGAAATCATGTGATTACCTCTACGAATTACACACAAATCTGCAGCTCAGCAATTTGTGCTGCTGCGTGTGCAAAACATTCTAAATTGCGTCATAATCATACTTTTGAAAGGATTTGAAGAAAAACTTGTGCAGCGCAGAAGCGATCAAGTTATTGATGACTATGGATTTGTTTTTCAAGACGTTTGTGTTGTTCATTTTTCTTCTTTTGTGTAAAGGTAAGAAACACTTATCTTTACATAGCTGTATAACAGATTAACCATACGACTTTGTTGAAAAAGGACAGAAATTAGAACGAGTAAGTTCTCATTGACTTTTGAAAGTAAAAACTTAAAAGTAGTAGCAGGTGTGGTAATGACATCTATCCCAAGTAAAGACAATGACGTGATTTGAATATCTCTATTCCGCTGTGCTGCATTTCAGTGACTCTAAGTTTTTCCCAAGTCCCAGTTTACCTTTTTAAATTGAAATCTTTTCATAGTTTATCCGGCAGCTCTGTGAATGCGTTGTATGGTCTGACAATGGTAAACTCTAAGAAATTATGATCGTTAGAGCTCAGCAAAATGTTCGAGAAAGGCATGAATTTGGAGAAGCTATAACTGTAATTATTTTTTTTGAAACACAAAAGCTTACACTGAAAAATCAATGATTAGTCTCGATTCCGTTACAGACTGAAAACAGCTGCGATTAATACAAGCCCTAGCGCCCTTTTTGCATGTCAATTACTCACCTAATCAAATTAATTTCGTCTAAAGAGAACCCTATTACTAGTAAGAGAAAATATCAGACAAAGAACATTATCCCTTTCAGGAATGAAAGAAGTGGTCTCAGGCTTGAATGACTCATCTCCAGAACTAGAACAAAAATCCTATGATATACGAATTTTTTTTTTTTTTCTGTGATAGAAGGAGAATGTCTTTCATATTTACCAGTCAAGGCTATGGTAAAAGTTTGTCGTGGTAAAACCGCTACTCTCGCGTTCAGGATCACTAGTGGCGATCCAAATGCTGCCTATGTAATTTGGCGAAAGAATCGCAGAAAAATCGTGAACGGAGAGCATTATCATAAAGGACCGAACGCTATGTACCTTAATGTATCCAACGCCTTGCCTGTTCATACCGGGCGGTACTCTACTTTACTTAGACGAAAGTCGGATAATGTGATCCTCTCCTTCAAATCCATCCATTTGACAGTGCGAGGTAAGATTACTGTTCCGTGCCCTTTTAAGAGAAAAAGTTAGAACTGTAATGATCTCTCTGGTCTTTCCATTTCCTTCCTATGAATATCTTTTTACTTTCATCTTTTGTTATCAAATAGCACAACTCCAATACCATCAAAACGAAACGAAAAGTGCTCTTCTGAATGTATTTTGCAGATGTCTATTTAAAAGTTCTCAGCCAGACTCCCTTAAGAGTAATGCGAAAAACTTCAACCACCTTGAAAGTTGAGAAATCACAGTTGGGTTCTTTATCATGGAGGCATAATGGAAAACTTGTGGATGGCGGGGATCCTTATTACACTTTTGTGACTCGAAGTAAAACCGAGCTACGAATTTCTTATGCTCAACCGGAGCTGGAGGGTTCATACAAGGTTGTGCTTGAAGATAGCAAATGCGGCGAGTTGAGTGAAGAAATTAATGTGGAGATAATAGGTTTGTGATTTTTAGTAAGCTCATTTGGGATGGTTGTTGTAGCTATGGAAATAAGTAGCATAGATGATATCACTAACTTAGTTGCAGTTATATAACTTATTTGGGTCTTTCCAAGTTCATTCACGGTCAAATCCATCAGCACAATCTAAGAGTATAAAATATCTTGTTCTGCCTGGCTAAACCGGATAATAATTAATACAGTACTCTGTTATAGGAATAAAAACCAATTATATGCTGTGTCTAATTTCAAAGTTATAGCGACGCTTTTTTCTTTTAAATTCGCTCAAAGAAACTGTGGATCACCGTAAAAATACTCAGCGATACTAAACACCCAGAAAAACGTCTAATGAGATCTATTTCTAAAAGAAGTAGAGCTTGCAGCTGTCAAAAAGTTGGGAACAAAGCCATAAAATGCCCATTCTCCTTTCAAATTTAACCTTGAAAACCGGCGCTCCATGTTATAAGCAGAATGTGCCATGTTCAATTGAGCGGCAAGATCAGCTCCTATATCTATGTCGTGAAAGCTTTTAAATCAAACCTTATACTTCATGACTGTTGTTATCCCACCGCAGAAATGATTTTATCGGTGAATCCTGTTGCCGACGTCTGTGTTGGTGGAAAGGCTTCCTTCGAGATCAAGAAAAACGGCGACCTACCAGGCCAAATTTTTTGGACATTTAGCCACCGAAATCTGCCGAAAAATGAGCATTATAAAGAGAATGCGGACAAGACAGCTCTGGATATAAACAACGCTTTGCCTATACATGCTGGAAAATACACTGTCATCGTTGTTAAAGGAGGAAAATGGATGATGGGTTCTACTTCGTTTGACTTGATAGTTCGTGGTAAGATCATTACTATTCGAAAACATTACACGGCCCCTTGTCGGAAATATTGTAGAGATGTGGCAGTTTTATTATTTTTAACCCTCTCTTCTTCCTTACTTTTCTTTATCCATTCATCTTTTCATCCATTCATTTGTCCATCCAATCGTCTTTATCCATCTGCAGTTCGTATTTCCTTCTTTCGTCAGTCCATCCACCCCTGGGCTACCCTTCCTCCCGTCCACCCTCGTTTCCTTTCTTATTTCTCCTTCATTTCCTTCCTTCGCTCTTTTTCATTTTCCTTTTAAACTCTCATTTTTTCGCTTTATGTGTCAGTTCTGCTTCATATCTTGTCTTATTCAAAGCAGAGAAGTCAGTCTTTACATAGACGAGATATTTAAAATTTTGACTTTCAGTCCACCCAAGTCATCGTAGGCTATGCGTTTCACCGATAAGAGCACAATCAATCGTATTTGAATTAAGACGAGCCAATTCCTCTTATTTCTAAATTAATCTTGTAGATGTTTACCTAAAAATTCCGGTGAAAAACCCAGTTATCGCGCGGTTAGGTGGTAACGCCATCTTGAAAGTAGAGAAATCAGCGTTGGGCACTTTAATTTGGAAGCACAATGGAAACCTGTTGTCCGGAGACGAACCTCACTACGCCTATGTGTACTGCTATAAATGACCTTATGTGTACTGCTATAATATAGAAGTCAGTCTTTACATAGAGAAATGTTTCAAATATTGCTTGACATTGTCGGTGATGTGTCTCACTGAGAAGAGCTCAATCAATCGTATTTGGGCAAATAGTCTTCTAACTTCCAACTCAATCTTGCAGATTCCTACCTAAATGTTCTGGTCAGAAATCCTTTTCTCGTGCAGTTCGGCCATAACGCCATCTTGAAAGTAGAGAGATCAGAATTGGGTACTTTAGTTTGGAAGCACAGTGGAAACTTGTTGTCCGGCCACGAACCCCATTACACTTACCTGAATCCACGAAAAACTGAGTTGGAAATATCTAATGCAGGCCCGAGCCAAGCAGGAGTTTACAAGGTTTTCCTCAAGGAGGGTGGATGTGAGAAACGTGAAGAGATTCAAGTCTACACAGGTCTGTATTCTCTGGTCATGTGTTTGGACTCTGAATGTTGCGATAGGTCGCCTACATAATTACACACCTCAAGATGGCCAGCCAGCGTCTATTATACATGCTAATTATTCATAACTCATTTAGAAATTTGTTATATTTGAAATTATTAGCACAATATTATTTCACGAACATCATTTCCAATGCCAATTTTTTAAATATTTAATTGTCGCCGATTTCTCAATGCACTCAAGTAATAATTTAATCGGACATGCCAAACTGTTCAATACCGGTTCAATAGTCGTTTAAGTTTCAGTAATAAAAAGGTTAGGTATAAATCAATTGTCGAAATAGGCCCTGGCTTCCATCTTCTATTATACAGAGCAATTTGGATTATTGCAAGTCCCCATCAAAAACTGAGATCGTTTCCCAAACTCTCTTTGACTAAAATGCAAATCTACACCTTCCAAAGAAAAAAGTGTGAAACATACGCAAGTGCTCATTTTTAACTCGTGAATTGCGCGTGCGCAAGAACGAGTTGTAGGTATGCTGTGATGAATCGCGTTCGTTCGCTCGCTCGCTCGATTGGTCGATTCCTGTAAACTTTTTTCTATTTTAGGTTTTTGAATGTATTTGATAGTTTTTGGCGAGTGATAAACAAACGAAATGGCGATCTTTGTTGCTAAGAATAGTGCTGGGGTGAAAAGAAGCCAATGATAATCTTGAAAGAGTAAAAAAGTATGGTTGGGTTTCAGGTGACGTCACAAGCTTTGCTGAAGTTAGTGTCCGCCATGTTGGTGTCCCTCGGGTGTCAAATTTATGAATAATTAGTCGATTTCTATAGTGAAGCCCTCTCTCTTATCGCCGTATTATTTCGCCAACTACATGAATATCCAGAGAGAAAAAAGCGATAAAAGTATCTGGCATTCATCTTAAGGTATCCCAGTGCTCTCTGAGTATGCCGAAAGCTTAGAGAGTTGGAAGGAAAGATGTTTGCAAAAGATCTCGGTCATTGGGGTTGACCCTGCAAGCATACCAGCCGAGAAGTTCAGTCCAAAATGCTTGCCTCCTGTGGAAGCGTCGGACTTGCTGAGTTACCTCGTTCTTGAGACCAGCTTCTACACCAAGAAGCAGTTCAAGGCGTTCAAGAGTCTAGAGGCGTTTAATCAAATGGTGTCGGGATTTGTAACCTCAGTTGTAGGCAAAGTAATCGCCGGCAAGTATGCCGTGAGAGCACGAGTTTGGCATTCACAGCATATGAATGATCCTTTAGTGAACATTTGGGTCATTTCCGAAAACGATGGGACTATTTTGTCAGCCCATTGCTTGGGATGCAAAGCTGGACTGGCTGAGTCATGCTCACATATCGCGAGTGTTTTATTTATGTTAGAGGCAACTACTAGAATTCATGGCAAGGTCGCTGGGTGTCACGAAAACTCAGACACCGAAAACTCAGGTCCCTCGAAGTGTTCTCCAAGCTTCCGAAGTGCTCCATAATTCGATAGTGCATAGCATAAAGCATGAACCAATTTTTTTATAATATAACCGGTGGAATAATGCAACAAATCCGACGCGAAAGACGAACAACAATATCAAGAGTGATTCTTCAGTGAGGCGAATCGTGACGGCGCTGATGCCGAGTCTTCTTTCGCGTTGTTTTTCTCTTTCTGCCTCATTTAAGAACTCTAGCCCAAGGGTCGCAAAATTGTCTTCGTTTTGGGACTGGTGGGCCGAGTCTCTGTTTGTATCCATTATTATCGCGAAATATTTAAGAATTTTAACAGAGCGACAACAAGGATCTGTGCGACGAAGTACAAAAAGGTAAACAAACGTCCCTTTCGGCTCGTCAAAATCACGCCACATTTTAATACTTTGGTGTTGGAGCGAGCGCATTTGATCCCGTTAACTGTGAATGAAAAGTTCAAAATTAACGGGAAAAATGGAGGAAATCTAAGCTAAATGAAGTCTTGTGTCACTCTAAAATGTTTTAATACTCAACCATCGGACGATTTTGCGAAACGTGCAACTTGCGGCCTTGCTTTTGCTGCTTCAGTTGGATGAAGACCCAAAAGGTCAAAATACACGAGGGATTACCAGGAGTGATCATGAGTCGAGTTTATCTNGTCATAATTCTTAAAACAAGGAATGTAAATCTTATTTTTAATGGTGGTATTCTTAAACTGAGGAACTTTCATTGGAGAGTATAAAATTCTTAAAAGCAGAAATCTTGATCCTTACATTTCAAGGAATTGACTCTCAAAATAAGGAAAAAATCCTTGTTTTGAGTATCCACTGACTAACAATAAGAATTCCGAAAAACAAAATTTAGAGTGGTGTGAACATCCTTGTACTTGTTTTTTCATCCTTGTGCTAATAATTATCTCAGAAGTGCGAAACAGGCTTCAAGGGTAGTACTCAGTTGCAACACAAGCATAGGCATAAACATAACAAGCTAATGTGCAGGTGGGCTCAGCTGCAACATAAACATGAGCACAAGCGCTCAGTCGATGTTACTTTAAATAGGGACATGGTTGATATAAGCAGTATAGTGCTTGCTGATTGCCTGAAAGACTTTCGCTTATGTTTATACTTACGCTTATGCCAACCAAGTCTTAACTAGACAGTATAAGCATAAAAAGAAGGAAACGTTTTGATAATCTTATGCATATATGCTTATCCTTATGTCCGTGCGTTCCATCCAGCGTATAAGCTTTTACATGCCTATCCCTATGCTTGCATAGCAAGTTAATACTCAGCTCATTATTGGAACAATATTTTTATGATAAACAAAACAGCACCCTTATGAACTTTCATTCCACAAACCTTTACTGTAAAATCTGGAACAGTTACTGTCTTGCACCAAATCCTAATCAGGTCATATTTTCTGTCTTTGAGGCCTAATTTAGTTTCACATCATATTCCTCATAATGCTCATTTACCATACCTTAGTATGGAAATCAAACACCCATTTCTATTTACGAAACAAATTACATTGGCAGCTTATCCAATTCACGAGTTGGCTCACAGAGCCTTTGATATTTTGTTTTATTACTACAGGGGACATCAAAACTCTGCCGATCAGCTCTCATTCCGACATCTGTGTTGGGGAAAAAGCTTCCTTTTCAGTGGAAGTTTACAACTATTTTAATGATTTAGATTTTCAAATTATTTGGAGATATAACATGCTTGCTGAAGTACAGGAAAACGAGCATTTTTCTCTGAAGGCCGATAACAAAACCCTGGATGTACGCAATGCTTTACCTTCGCATTCTGGAAACTACACCGCCTTTGCAGTTTTTATGCAGAATGGGTCACCTGTTGAGTCTGCACTTTCTTTTACATCATTTGATCTAAGAGTCCGTGGTAAGAATATGAAATTATGAATTGATAACAAACATCCCTGCATTTTTCTGGGAAGAATTGCAGAGACATCTGTGGCATTTTAATTCAGAGACTAATTTCTGCTCTGTTCCTTCCTTAGTTTTCTTCTCCTTTTACTCTTTTATTGTCACTTTATGTGTACTCCACTTAATCTTATAAAAAGCAGAAAAATCCGTCTCTACATTGACAAAATATTACTTAATTGTTGCATGACATTTAGTCACCTATGAATATTGTTGGGGACGTGTTTCACTGATAAGAGCACAATCGATGGCGTTTGGAAAAATACATAGTAAGTCTACTACCTTCCAAATCAATCTTGCAGATCTCTACCTAAAAGCTGCGGTCCGAAGTCCGCTTGTAGTGCAGTTCGGTAATAACGCCATTTTGAAAGTGCAGAAATCAGTGTTAGGCACTTTAGTATGGAAGCACAATGGAAACCAGTTGTCCGGCCACGAACCTAATTACGCTTACCTGAATCCACGAAAAACTGAGTTGGAAATATCTAATGCAGGCCCGAAGCAGGCAGGAGTTTACGAGGTTTTCCTCAAGGAGGGTGGATGCGAGAAACGTGAAGAGATTCAAGTCCAGACAGGTCTGTATTCTTTGGTCATGTTTTTGGCTTCTGAATGTTACGATAGGTTATTTACGTAATCATAAACGTCGAAGTAGCCAGCCACCGTCTATTATGCATGCTTATTATAGATAACTCATTCAGAATTAATTCAAATTAGCTATTTGAAATTATTGAGACAATATTATCAAACGAACATTATTTCAAATACGAATTTTTCTATCACTTGGTGTAGTCTAAGTGTCCCCGATTTCACAATGCGCTCAGTAGGGGACACTTGAATCCGACCATGCTAAACTGTTCAATGCCTGTTTTCTGTGCACAACTAGCCAATTAGTTTGATGCAAACAAGAATACTGATAGGTTGAATTATTTGACAAAATAGTCACTGGCTTCGATTTTCCATCGCAAAAGGAAATTGGAGGAGAGGACAAGCCAAACCCCTCTTCAACTAGAATACTGAGCCGAGCCTTGCTTAGAAAAGCAAACATATTCAAATGTTCATCTTGTTTTGTTTTAACACTACAGGGGATATCAAAATTCGGCCAATCAGCTCTCATTCCGACATCTGTGTTGGGGAAAACACTTCCTTTGCTGTGGAATTTCACAACTATTTTGATGACCTAGATTTCCAAGTGATTTGGAAGTATAACATGATTACTGAAGTACAGGGAAAAAAGCATTTTTCTCTAAAGGCGGATAACACAGTCCTGAATGTACACAATGCTTTACCTTCGCACTCTGGAAACTACACCGTCTTTGCTGTTCTAATGCAGAATGGGTCACCTGTTGAGTCTGTACTTTCTTTTACCTCATTTGATCTAAGAGTTCGTGGTAAGAATATTAAATTATGAATTGATAACAAACATCCTTGTATTTTTCTGTGAACAATTGCAGAGAGATCTTCCGGATTTTTTAATTCAGACACTAATTTTTCCTCTGTTCCTTCCTTCGTTTTGTTCTTCGTTACTCTTTTATTGTCATTTTAATCATGTATTACTCTTTGTCTTACCTTACAAAAGCAGATAGGTCGGTCTTTACTTTGACAAAATATTACTTTAAAACTGCACGACATTTGGTTCACCTAAGAACATTGTTGCTGACGTGTTTCACCGATGAGAGTACAATCAATCGCATTTGGAAAAATACATAGCAAGTCTACTACCTTCCAAATCAATCTTGCAGATCTCTACCTAAAAGCTGTGGTCCGAAGTCCGCTTGTAGTGCAGTTCGGTAATAACGCCATCTTGAAAGTAGAGAAATCAGCGTTGGGCACTTTAGTATGGAAGCACGATGGAAACCTGTTGTCCGGTAAGGAACCTCATTACGCTTACGTGAATCCTCGAAAAACTGAGTTGGAAATATCTAATGCAGGCCCGAAGCAGGCAGGAGTTTACAAGGTTTTCCTCAAGGAGGGTGGATGTGAGAAACGTGAAGAGATTCAAGTCCAGACAGGTATGTATTCTTTGGTCATGTTTTTGGCTTGTGACTGTTACGATAGGTCGCCTACATAATCATATACTTCAAAATATCCAGCCATCGTCAATTATGCATTCTGATTATTCTTAACTCATTCAGAAATAAGTCATATTAGCTATTTGAAATTATTGAGAAGATATTATTTCACGAACATTACTTTCAATACCAATTTCTCAAACACTTAGTGCACGTGGTCTAAGTGTCGCCGATTTCATAGTGCGCTCAAGTGACACTTAAGTTAGACATGTCAAACTGCTCAATGCATATTTTCTGTCCACAACCAGCCATTTAGTTCAATGCAAACAGGGATAGGTTTCAGTTATTTGACATAATAGCCCCTGGCTTCGATTTTCCACTACACAGGGTAATCAGGATTATTTCAAGTTCCCATCGGGGAGGTAATTTGCCAAACCCCCTTCGACTAAAATACTGAGCTGCGCCTTCCTTTGAACAACAAACATATTTATTGTTCTTCTTCTTGCTTTTTTTTTATCACTACAGGGGACATCAAAATTCGGCCGATCAGCTCTCATTCCGACATCTGTGTTGGGGAAAAAGGGTCCTTTGCAGTGGAAGTTCACAACTATTTTGATGACCTAGATTTCAAAGTGATTTGGAAGTATAACATGATTGCTGAAGTACAAAAAAACGAGCATTTTTCTCTGAAGGCGGATAACACAACCCTGGATGTACACAATGCTTTACCTTCGCACTCTGGAAACTACACTGTCTTTGCTGTTCTAATGCAGAATGGGTCACCTGTTAAGTCTGTACTTTCTTTTGCCTCATTTGATCTAAGAGTTCGTGGTAAGAATATTAAATTATAAATTGATAACAAACATCCTTGCATTATTCCAGGAACAATTACAGATAGCTCTGAAGTCTTTTTTTTAATTCAGACTTATTTTTTACTCCGTTACTTCATTTGGTTTGTTCTCCTTTTACTCTTTTATTATCACCTTTTATGTACTCTAATATTATATAAAGCGGAAAGGTCAGTCTCTACATTGACAAAATATTATTTAATTATTGCATGACATTTGGTTTACCTAGGAACAATGTCATGGTGACGTGTTTCACTGGTAAGAGCACAATCAATCGTATTTGGAAAAATACATAGTAAGTCTACTTTATTCCAAATCAATCTTGCAGATCTCTACCTAAAAGTTCTGGTTCGAAGTCCACTTTTAGTGCAGTTGGGCAAACACGCCATCTTGAAAGTGGAGAAATCAGTTTTGGGCACCTTATTTTGGAAGCATAATGGAAACCTGTTATCCGGCGACAAACCTCATTACGCTTTTGTGAATCCACAAAAAACTGAATTGGAAATATCTAATGCAGGCCCGAAGCAGGCAGGACTTTACGAGGTTTTCCTCAAGGAGGGTGGATGTGAGAAACGTGAAGAAATTCAAGTCCAAACAGGTCTGTATTCCGGCCTTGGTCATTTTTTTGGCTTCTGAATATTAAGATAGGTCGCTTATATAATCATCTTTTATAAAATATCCAGCCATCATATATTTTGCACGCTGATTATACATAACCCAGTCAGAAATAAGTCATATTAGCTATTTGAAATTATTAAGGCCAAATCATTTCACGAACATCATTTCCAATACCAGTTTCTCTAACACCGTAGGTGTGGTCCAAGTGTCGCCGATTTCACAGTGCGCTCAAGTAAACTTGAATCAGACATGCCAAACTGTTCAATGCCTGTTAATTTTCCAGGCTGTGCACAACTAGCCATTTAGTTTGATGCAAACAAGGATAGGTTTGAATCATTAGACAAAATGGACCCTGGCTTCGATTTTCCACTACGCAGAGCAATTAAGATCATTTCAAGTCCCCATTGAGGAGATGATTTGCCAAACTCTCTTTGACTAAAATACTGAGCCGCGCCTTCCTTAGAAAAAAAAACATATTTAATGTTCTTCTGGCTTTGTTTTATCACTACAGGGGAAATCAAAACTCGGCCCATCAGCTCTCATTCCGACATCTGTGTTGGGGAAAAAGCGTCCTTTGCCGTGGAAATTAACAATAATTTTGATGCCCTGGATTACCAAGTTACTTGGAGATATAACATGCTTGCTGAAATACGGGAAAACGAGCATTTTTCTCTAAAGGCGGATAACACAGTCCTGGATGTACACAATGCCTTACCTTCGCACTCTGGAAACTACACCGCCTTTGCTGTTCTAATGCAGAATGGGTTCCCTGTCGAGTCTGTACTTTCCTTTACCTCATTTGATTTACGAGTTCGTGGTAAGATGTCAATTTATCAATTGAAAACAAACATCCCTGTATTTTTCTGTGAACAATTCGAGAGAGATCTGTGGCATTTTAATTCAGACACTAATCATTTTCCTCCATCCCTTCTTTCGGTTTGTTCTTCTTTTACTCTTTTATTGTCAACTTATGCGTACTGCTCTTTATCTTATATTATAAAGAGCAGGAAAGTTAGTCTCTACATTGACAAAGTAATATTTAACTATTGCATGACATTTGGTTCACCTAAGAACATTGTTTGGGACGTGTTCCACTGATTAGAGCTCAATGAATCGCATTTGGAAAAATACATAGCAAGTCTACTACCTTCGAAATCAATCTTGCAGATCTCTACCTAAAAGCTGTGGTCCGAAGTCCGCTTGTAGTACAGTTCGGTAATAACGCCATCTTGAAAGTGGAGAAATCAGTGTTGGGCACTTTAGTATGGAAGCACAATGGAAACCTGTTGTCCGGTCACGAAACTCATTACGCTTACCGGAATCCTCTAAAAACTGAGTTGGAAATATCTAATGCAGGCCCGAAGCAGGCAGGAGTTTACGAGGTTTTCCTTAAGGAGGGTGGATGTGAGAAACGTGCAGAGATTCAAGTCCAGACAGGCTTGTATTCTTTCGTCATTTGGCTCCTGAATGTTATGATAGGTCGCCTACGTAAACATATACTTCCAAATATCCAGCCATCGTTTATTATGCATGCTGATTATCCTTAACTCATTCAGAATTAAGTGTTCTTAGCTATTTGAAATTATTGAGACAATATTATTTCACGAACATTATTTGAAATACCAATTTTTCAAACACTTGTCGTTGTCTAATTAAGTGTCACCGATTTCACAATGTACTCAAGTGACACTTCAATTGGACATGTAAACTGCTCGATGGATGTTTTCTGTGCACAACCAGCCATTAATTTTGATGCGAACAAGGATAGCTCTGAATTCTTTGACAAAATAGCCCCTAGCTTCGATTCTCCACCACACAGGGAAATTAGGACCAATTAAGATTATTTCAAGTTCCCATCAGGGAGATAATTTGCCAAACCCCCTTTGACTAAAAATACTGAACTGCGCCTTCCTTAGAAAAACAAACATTGTTCTTGCTTTCTTTTATCACCACAGGGAACATCAAAATTCGGCCGATCAGCTCTCATTCCGACATCTGTGTTGGGGAAAACACTTCCTTTGCTGTGGAAGTTACCAACTATTTTGATGACCTAGATTTCCATGTTATTTGGAGATATAACATGCTTCAAGTGCAGGAAAATGAGCATTTTTCTCTGAAGGCGGATAACACAGTCCTGAATGTACACAATGCCTTACCTTCGTACTCTGGAAACTACACCGCCTTTGCTGTTCTCATGCAGAATGGGTCTCCTGTTGAGTCTGTACTTTCTTTTACCTCATTTGATCTAAGAGTTCGTGGTAAGAATATTAAATTATGAATTGATAACAAACATCCTTGTATTTTTCTGTGAACAATTGCAGAGAGATCTGCAGCATTTTAATTCAGACACTAAATTTTTCCTCTGTTCCTTCCTTCGTTTTGTTCTTCCTTACTCTTTTAGTGTCATCTTTAATATGTACTACTCTTTATCTTACATTATAAAAAGCAGAAAAATCCGTCTCTACATTGCCAAAATATTATTTCAATATTGCATAACATTTGGTTCACATAAGAACATTGTTGGTGACGTGTTTCACTGATAAGAGTACAATCAATCGCGTTTGGAAAAATACATAGTAAGTCTACTTCCTTCGAAATCAATCTTGCAGATCTCTACTTAAAAGCCGTGGTCCGAAGTCCGCTTGTAGTGCAGTTCGGTAATAACGCCATCTTGAAAGTAGAGAAATCAGTGTTCGGCACTTTAGTATGGAAGCATAATGGAAATCTGTTGTCTGGCCACGAACCTTATTACGCTTACGGGAATCCTCAAAAAACTGAGTTGGAAATATCTAATGCAGGCCCGGAGATGGCAGGAGTTTACGAGGTTTTCCTTAAGGAGGGTGGATGTCTGAAACGTGAAGAAATTCAAGTCCACACAGGTCCGTTTTCCGGCTTTGGCCATGTTTTCGGTTTCTGAATGTTGCGAGAGGTCGCCTAGATACACTTCATAGTGGCTAGTCATCGTTTATCATGCATGCCGATTATTTCTAACTCATTCAGAAATTTGTTATATAAGCTATCTGAAGATTAATTAGACAATATTATATCACGACCATCATTTCCAATGCCATTTTCTCAAACATTTAAGTGTCGCCGATTTCTCAATGCACCAAGTAGTACTTTAATCGGACATGCCAAACTGTTCAATGCCTGTTAATATTCAATAGCCATTTTCAGTTACAGCAAAGAAGGATAGGTATAACTCATTTGAAAAAAAATAGTCCATGGCTTCGATTTTCCCTTATATGGTGTAATTCGGGATATTGCCAGTGTAGGGTGCGTGACATGTTTTCTTGAGTATGCCGGTGACTGCGAGTTCATGAATCGTAATGAGTGTTGGGAACAAAAGAGAGGAAAAAACCATGTGCTCGAAGAATATAGAATAAGTAAGAAAACCTTGTGTTTAATAAAACGTTCTGGTTTGATTTGAGCGTGTAACACAAGTCCCCATCGAGAACTGATATTATTTGCCAAACTCCCTTCGACTGAAATGCTGAGCCTCGCATTCCATGAAAAAAACAAACATATACAAGTGTTTTTCTTGCTTTGTTCTATTACCACAGGAGACATCAAAATTCGGCCGATCAGCTCTCATTCCGACATTTGTGTTGGGGAAAAAGCGTCCTTTGCAGTGGAAGTTAACAACTATTTTGATGACCCGCTAAATTTCCAAGTTTTTTGGAGATATAACATGCTTACTGAAGTAGAAGAAAACGAGCATTTTTCTTTTAAGGCGAACAACACAACGCTGGATGTACACGATGCTTTACCTTCTCACTCTGGAAACTACACCGCCTTCGCAGTTGTAGTGGAGAATGGGTCACTTGTTGAAAATGTGCTTTCTTTTACCTCGTTTGTTATGAGTGTTCATGGTAAGAATATTCAAATATGAATTGAAGACATTCTCACCCTTTTCGTGAGAAAAAAAATATGCATCCATCCTCATCTCATGTTTCTGTCTCCTCCTCTGGATCTTAGGCTCTGCCTCATGTTAATTCTCCTTCACTACCTTTCATTTTGACGTGTTTAACTGTCTAAAGAACCCAACAATCCAACTTTGATAAAGACATACGATGTATTGATCCCACCGCCACCATTTTGCAGATGTATTCCTGAATGCCTCGGTCGAGAGTCCTATCAAAATAAAGGCTGGTGATTCTACAATCTTCAATGTTGAGAAATCAGATCTGGGCGCCTTATTTTGGACGCACGATGAAGAGTTAGTGGACGATAAGAGCCCTCACTACACCTTGAATGCTAATAAAACCGAGCTGGAAATAGTTGCAGCACGCCTGGAACAAGCGGGAATCTACGAAATTGTACTCAAAGAGGGCAGATGCGAGATAAGCAAAGCTTTTGAAGTTCAGATATATGCAGCAGGTTTGCGCCCTGTTTTTTGTTGTTGCTTTGGTTTTTTAGTGTCAGACAGAGGCGAAAGTTTGAAAGTCAGCTTTACAAGTTTTATCGCTGAAGCTTTAGCTGTTCCTAGGATAAGTTGTTGAACATAGAAGGATCCAAGAGCCTCTGCACATGCCTTTTAGTTCTGTAACATGTTGCGGTAGATGTGTGCTTTAGTTCTGTGCACTTTTGGTATAATATGGATGAAAAGGAACTGTAGCGCAATTTTTTCGTTTCAGAACTCATGAAAGATGTCAGTGTGCTTGTGAAAGAGAGTAAATACGCAGGTAATTTCGGGTATTCTTACTTTAGTCCACGGGGCTATAACTCATGAAGTGTGGTGCATGTGTATCCCGGGACGATCAAGTCCCCATAATGATGACATAAAAACAGCGATAACGATTAAGCGTAACGTGACATCCAAACGACAGCCGTGAAGGAGACGATTCACTCCCACCTGTTTTTGTTTGTTATGTTTTGTTTTATTTTTGTTTGTTTTTTTGTCTTTTTCTCCGCGTCTTTCCAAGTGTAGCTATCAGGCGCGACGCCTTTTAGTCCATAAACTTAAATATCCCGCCCATAACCACCATGGCAACAATCTTAAAGTTAAGGTCTTCGAACGCAACACACTCAATAACGAAAAGTTATTATGCTTTACAGAGGATTCAGGCGATTCAGAGTTTTGGGCGATCACGTACATGATTTTGGTTTACGCTAAAGCCTTACGCGGATTTCTCTTCTACAAGTGGTACATTGCACCAGCTGCTGGTGGAGTATTGCTTATTGTAGTCATTGTGTTGGTTAATCGCTTTGGTAGGCTGGGAGAGAAGAAAAAAAGGTAGGAAACAAAAACGCATTTAATACCACCTTGGTTTAACTACAGGAGGTAAAAATAATAAAATGGGGTGGCCGTATTTACTCGCATAAGCGCTTGGGCGAGTGGGGAATTGGGAGGGATGTTAAAATAATGAATTCCACGTTACATGTTTCGTTGAAGCGGGATAATTTTTAGCGATAAGTTAACGCAAATTCCAATCAATCGTGCAGTTTAACCACGGACCGTATCGGTTCTGCATCATCTGGTTTCAGTAACGCACTTGTAATGAAGCCCGCCATTAAAAGGTTTCAGATGTTTTAACATCTGAAAAGAATCTAACATCTTAAAAGAATCAATTTCTGATCACTATAGAGATAACTATACCTTCTGCCTTCTACCGGTTGGATAATGTAAAGATAGCCTTTCTTTTTTTGCGTCCACTTTTTTAGCCCCAAGGAAAATGCTGAAACACATTCTGAAGCTGAAAAAGGACCACCCAGTCAGCATTTTGTGTTGAAGACCCCTGTTGTCACATTACTAAAAGAGGTCATCTATCCATCCGCTGACCAAACATTTCCAGCGTTAGAGGACAACTTAGCCACAAATACGTGCGTGGGGAGAGAAAATCATATCCAGTCCCCTAGTTTGGATCATTATAGGCAGGAATCCCATTACAGTGGTATTACAGTAGCTCCCGACTCGCTTGTGGGGCCAACCGTTCTACCTCCGACTCAAGTATTGTTAAAAAAAGAGACATCCAGCGATGGGAGTGACGCTAACTATGATAGCTGCGACTCGTTTTGACTTTTAACAAGTGTCATTAAAATTAAAAAATTACCCAGGGAGTCATTAGATGTCATGGATCAGTCATGGTACGTTAGAGTAGTTACTGCTGTTACATAGAGTACATTATTGTCTCATAACATTGTTACTTTGATTGTAAAGCAAAGAGTTGAATACTTATCACCACAACGGATTAAAGTGCCTACACAAAACTAGTTGTTCTAATAATCTTTTAAGGGTTTGAGTGCACTCACTGCGATCAATGCACGAGAATAATACAAATTTCTGCTGTTTAGTGGTAGCTCTCTGGGCCCATATTTTGTACATGTATTTGTATATAGTATGGCCATATCTTGACTTGGAAGTCATTATGTTTTAGGATCATGTGTTATCTGCAAGCCCCCCTCTTGGTTGTTTTGCTTAAACAGGGTCCGATAAAATTAAAAGATTTACGACTTACTAGCCTGGAGTTCTAAGGAACAAGCCTGAAAAGTTATTTATTAATTACAATCAAGTATCTGTTCAATGTTAAATTGTCAATCAATTTATAATATTAACATTCTACTTAATAACAAAGAGTTGCACTTTATATTTTGAATGCACTTAGTCACATTTTGAATGCACAAAAGGAATCCTTTCAATGACATGCACTAAATAATTACATTGCGATCAATTTGCTGTGAGAGGATACTAGTTAGCGGTGACTTTAAGATGCCAAAATCTGAATCTTTTTATTTTAGAACATGCTGTAAGCTCTACAATCAGTATGATCATAACAAAAACAGAAACATATTAAAACAGAACAAAAACTAAAAGAAAAAAAATTTAACAAAACAAACAGAAAAGAAAAAAGCTATGAAACACAGGTAAGCAGCTCAAATTTCAACATGCATAATAAAGACTTAAACAGATGCACTTAGGGCTGATAAACATGGAGCCGCTATGAAATCTAATCTAAGAACAATCGCTGACAGTAACATCTCTCGAAATGGTTGTAGCTTTTGAGGAGTAAATATATAACAACAGTGATAAAGTTTAACACTGGATATAAACAAAATAAATTATAACTGGTTGCAGTTCTTAAAAGATGATTTTTATGTCTAAAGTTCTAAGAGCTGTGCCAAACATTCGTGTTTATCTGTAAGTTTTTTTCTACTAAATGCAAGTTTATTTTAGCAACCAAATGTCATTAGCCATGGCTTTAGCATTAAACAGTATTTGAAAAGTTTATGCTATTGTTAAAAAAAAACAGCATTGTTTGCACTTAAAAACAAATACTTTGTGAAAGCAACACATACCTATGCATGTACTATGCCGGAACCTGAGTTTGCTTGATTATGCAGGCAAAAAGATGGAATCCTCTCTACCGAATCTCTTGCCCATTGAACAGATAACTGATTTTGCCTTTTTAGAAATACTAAAAAAAACCCACTTTGTTTTATACAAATCCTACTTGCTCATCGAGCAACTCACGATAAAAGGCAATTTTTTACAAGCCCACCGGCTCAGTTTTACAGCACTTTTGTCCTACCCTAACAAGACAACAAGAAAAAATTATGGAGTTACAAAGCTACTTCGATGCATTTCTTAATGAAAATCAAAGCAAAATTAGGAACACAACATCAAACAAAGGTGAACGTAGGGACCGGAATTAGTCGTAGTTTTGCAGATTTTTTGAGAATACAGCTGCAAAATCATTCACAAGTACAGCTGTATGGCTTTCTCAGTGACAGTCAGCATAATCATCACACAATTTGCCATTCACCTTGACAACTTCAAAATAACACGTCAAGATGATTAAAACACTGAAGAACAACAATAAACTATATTTCACACAAAATGCTTTTCCAACTCCCCACAATTAATAAGCATAGCTAAATAAGGATTAGATGATATAAAAAAATCGAGAATAAAGAAAAAAGCTACCACTACCAAAGCAACAATCTTGAAATATAACAGGAAAATATTACAGGATTTTACTTATTCCAGAAAAACTAACCACAAACGAACCTTTGTAATAAGTCATCAAGAGCAAAGGTTCTCATGACTTTATTGTATGAGGCAACATGGCTGACTCACAAGAGGAAAGACAACCTCACTAAGAATCATGGGTACGTTACATAACGTCACATTGTGGGTATGTCACGGCAGAGCCACCGGCTAACACCTGCATGAAGTGCCACACTTGTTCTTTGGGATCGAGCCTCAGACTGTAAAATAAGATCGATAATTTCTTCCTAACCTCCTGAAAATGAATACCTTTTGGGTGGGAATCGTTGGTAGTTCAAATTTTGATCGATAGGCTTGTTCGCGCCACAGGTCTAGCAAAAAGTCGAGTCACCAGGAAATAATAATTAACTTAGCCGTGAAGAGTATGCATAGATAATTGTCTAACTTTGTATCACTGATCAAAATAGTGTCCAAGGGCAAATATACAAGCACATTTTCTCGCCAAATGGAAGCTGTTGTATTTGTTATCCTTCAAATATTAGCTTTAGCCGAATCCCGTAGACAACAGATCCACATCGACCTTTAGCTGCCTTTAATTTAAGAATCAAGATTTTAAATATTATTTCTATTGTAATTTTCGGATCCAAATTGTTGATAGTATACCTAGATAGCTTCAGCCGAATTCCGTAGACAGTAGGTCTACATCAGCCTCTGGCTACCTTTGATTGAACCTGCTATATCAAATAAAGTATGATAATAATGATGATGACGATAGGTGAGGTGCATTTCAGGCTGTAAGGAACAATTTGTCAACAACCATACAAGCCATTAGGTGACGATGTTTCAAATGTATGAGTAAAACCGTACAACTCTTTTGGCGAGGCTCAAAACAGAATGGTAAATCAACAAGATACCCGTACTTGGAAATGCTTTGTGTCCAAAAAATCTCGAATTTCCCTTTTCCCTTCATTTGTTTTCTTTTACAAATTTATGAGAACATCTCACTTTTTTTCCACTTTCTTTGTTTCTTACAGGGGTTGTTCCCTAAGTTTACCTAAGAAATTTTGCGCGAGAAATCGGTGCACGGGCGCCCAAAATTAATGATCTTCTCGCGCATGCCCCAAGCTAAGTTAGATCGTTTTAATGGGGAGAGATGGCGTTGTAGATAGCCTTCAGATCGATAGTGCTGCTCAGGGTTTTTCCAAGGATTTGAGAAGATGAAGGCTAAGGTTGTGTTTGGTTTAAAGATGCTGTAATGTTGCCATGGCTTCATATCACAAAAGTTGTTCAAACATCAAGAAACAACTTGACATTTTCTGAGCACCTTTTTCCAAGGAACACACGAAAAATTGTGGTAATATTGATCTATCAAAGAAGAGCTGTTAAAAATTAATCTTTCTATTTGAGAAACTCCGAGAAGACTACCACGACAGTTAGGGCGGAAACGATCCCTATTTGCAATACAGGAACCCACTGCGTACCGAACCAATCCGGCGCCTGGCTAGGGAATGAATAAAACAAAAAACTAGTGGCTCGATGAACGATTCGTCAAACGAACTGTAAACTGTGCTAAGTCTTTCAAAATCTGCCCTTCGGTTCAAAGTACAGTCTCGTAAACGCATTACTAAGATATTTTTGATAATATGCATCGATTAAATTTTTTTATAGCCCCTGTGTGAACGAAGATTGCTAAACACCTTTCATTACACCTATAGTAATGCCTTAATACAGATTAATTCATGAATTCTGCTCAGCGTGCAGGATAAAATGCGAACTGTTTAAAACGAAGTCGTGCTATGGGTTATGCCTCTCGACAAGGGCTGGCTACCTAGTATGGTGATTGTATTGCTGTCAGTGCCCGTGGGCGATATAAAGTGCATCTTATGTTCTTAATTGCTACCCGGCACATCTTGCCCGCTCGAGATTTCCAGCTTTGATCCCGCGCAAGGAAAAAAAATTACTTGGAGCGGACCCACAAAGCTTGTAATTTTCATTATCCAGCCATCTTGACCTCACGCTTGGTCAATAACGTATATATCTCATCGAAAGTCCAAGCTATGTTTTCTTGAGAGGGGGAAGTTTCTAAAGGATCCACCTTAACGAACAAAACACTGACATACAGTTTACCAGAGAAGTCGAAGAAACTGGCAAACTTCCTTTTCTAGACTGCCTGGTAAGCCACAACAACAACTCATTACGAACGACAGTTTACAGGAAACCGACACACACCGACAGATTACTAGACGAGTCATCCTACAACCCTACATCACACAAAGCCACAACTATCAGAACTCTAACACGACGCGCACAACTAGTATGTGACTCGACAGACAGCTTATCCGACGAGAACAAATACCTTCACCGTGTTTTTACGAAGAACAACTACAACAACGACTTCATCCGACGAAACACTCACCGACCCACTACCACTACCGAAACAAACGACACCGCAACCCCTACGACTACAGCAACCATACCGTACATAAAAGGTATGTCTGAAAACATCTCGCGCATCTTACTACCCTTCAATATCCGCGTCGCCCACAAACCCATCACCACACTACGTCAGTTACTAACCAACGTTAAAGACAAAGACGAACCGAGGAACAGACAGGGAACGATTTATAAGATCAATTGTTCCGACTGCCAAGCCTCCTACATCGGTGAGACTGGCAGAAACCTCACAACAAGACTGACTGAACACAGACGGGCGACGAGGAAAGGTGATGTCAGCAATCACATTGCTGAACACCATCGACTTACCAACCACAACATTGACTGGGACTCTGCGCAATGCCTAACCTACAGCACTGACTATTTTCAACGACTGACTCTGGAAAGCTGGTTTACTAACTTAGAACAGACTCCCCTAAACAGATGTCAACAACTACCCGC